ATGCTGTACAGTACAGACAAGTGGCACGATAAGTACTGCATCCCATGGTGCCATTTTTACCGTCTCCCTGGTACCCGCGCATCTCATAATTCAGTCAACTGGTTTTAATTGGGTTTGTGTATTATTCACAGCATCATAGTATCAGGATGGAGTTTTCTTTCTTTTCTTTTCTTCTTTCTTGTGTTGCAACATTTTGTTTTGTGAGTTTTTGTAGTAGGCAATGTGTATGGAGCCACAGGGGGAAGGAAGCCCAGTCTGAGAGGTTGACTCTACCTCATATGTTAGCAGAAAGATCTCCATGCAATTTGTTTTTTCTTTTTTTTCTCTCTAATATAACTGTTTAGTAAGACAGCTGTGTCTGTTGCTTACACAAAGCTTATTATTCTATATTATGCCTCATTTGAATTTTCGGAAAAGGTTTGAAAAGCGCCTTTCTTTTCCATAGTTGTCTCATCATTGAACTGGAATAAATGTACAAACTATATCCGAGTAAAAGATGTTAATTAACAGGCATGTCCCTGCAGAGCGTGCTCCAAGCCTGCATTACTTACAAAGTGAAATTTGAGCTTCAGACCATATATTTATGTTGTCAGCAAAATACGTCCGTCTGTGACATTCCTCAAGTTTACTGTGTGCTCTCGACATGTTAGAGTTGCCAAACAAATGTTTCGCTGGAAGCAATCCAAAACACAAATAGAATTTTAATTCTCCTTTAGAGTTTGTAACCCCAATTACCCTCTGCAGCTCCTTTGAAAGAGTGCGCAACTGAACACATAATTATGAAACACTTTTGAATTACGAAACAATGTCAAATTAACTTCAGTTGAATAGCTAATCTCTCTCTTAAAAAAGGAAAAATCAGTTATTAGAAAGCTGGAACAGGTTAAGTGGATCTCCTGATGGCATGGCATGTGAGTCTTGAGACTTCTCAGAGCTTAAGGAGATGATGCTCAGTTGACTTCTGTGTATATCATCTTTACCTGGTGCTGACTTTTAGAGAGTAGTGTCTCAATATCTTCCTTGTTTCCTCCTAGACATCATGCATACCTAGAAGCAAAACCACAGATAAGGACACAAATATTAAATGAATTTTCCGTATATTTATGAAGAGATTAACTTCCTTTTATTTGTGAAAATGATGCAGAGATCATTGCCCTATAAGCAGAGGAAGGTCTGTCAGGTTGGAGAGGGAGAGATGCTAGTATTTAATATAGCCTGCCTTCTCACAAGGCTTCTGTCATTTAAGAAAAGCTTTAAAATGGGAGATAAATTCCAAAGTTATCCCCTATGCAAATGTTGTCCAAATACCACATGATTAAATTGATTGACCTAACTCTTCTGCCAGCTCCATGCTATGCTGTCGAGCTTTGCCAGCAGCAAGCATTAGTTTGCTGCCCCTTTAACTCCCTTTTTTTCTTGTCTCTGGGTAGATTTTCTGGATCCAATGGATAGATATGCCTCCTTCCTTCTAAAGCAAACCACGAGCATCCTTTCTGTCACAGAGATCTCTTTGAATGCACACTGAATTCTACAAAATCAGATCTTTGCCCTTCTTTCTTTGTTTTTTGTTTCCAATCTTCTTTCCAGACATTTTCAAAAGTCATCTCGTTTCAAAGTGCAGAGGACTCCTCAAAGAGTGCTTCTATCTGCAGAACAAATCTTGGCTTCAGAGGGAGTTAAGGAACTGGGAAAATCTCTTGGTAGTAGAGAGTTAACATAATAAGATTTTCACTTATCTTAAGCCAGCCTTAATTTCAGTGCATATGTATCGTTTGCAGTTGAAGTGTTTAATTTTTACAGTCTCATGAGATGATATAGTTTCATTATTTTGCCCATGAGAATGTTGCCTGCAATCCCTGTTGGAAATTATGGTCATGACATATAATTCAAGTAAACAGATGCTTCTCTGAAGGGCGATCTTAATGAGTTAAATGGTGAGCTACCAGATGGTGAGTGTTCATCCCAGCACTGTCATCCCAGTAGGTATGAAGGGTTCTTCTGCAAAACTGTGCTCTTTCTTCTTAAGTGCTGTCCTTGGAAGTCTTTGTAAAGCGGAGCACAGTCAGCGTGGCAGTCAGCAGGAGCCATAAGGAGGCTGTACGATAGCACGAAAATTTGCAATTTTCCCTTTCCTGACCCTTATCTTACCATCCTGACTGCAGAATAGTCAAGAGTTGTCCTGCTTTGAGATGGGCTTTCCTTCTCCAAAACTCCTGAGCCTAAGGAGTGTGTTAAAATGCTCTAGACCTCTACGCAAGCTTAAGAGGGTTCTTAAATAACACCTGCTGGAAAAAAGAAGCTACCGCGCAGATGCTTAACTAGGCAGATGAGCCTCTAAGGCTGTCAGAGAAACTGCTGGCCTTTGGCAAAAGGCTGGTTAAGAGCTCCTGGGAGGAGGCTATCCACATGTCTCGTTTCTGGGATCCTTGCCTGCGGGCTTAACGTCTGCGCTCTCCCCCTTCATTTACTCAACAGCAGCAAAGCTTCTCAGGTTGAAAAACGGGAGAGTGGCCACAAAATTGAGAAGCAATGTGATGTGGTGATAAGCCCCTAACCATTCCTGTGCTCTCGTAACAGTTCTTGTTTAGTAATTGTGTCTATTTTTAGATTTGACTGTTGGGTATTAAAAATTACAAGTGTTAGGTAATTACGAACAACTTTCACATTTGCAAATTTTTTAAACGTTAAGATGAGATCTGCGTGATATTAAAGGATTTGTTTCCAAATGCCTAGGCAAACATACGACCTTTGGGTTTAAAAAGGAAGTATCCAAAGCTTATTTCATACGGGCTCCCTTCTCTTTCCCCCTGTGGATGATTTGTATGTACTTTCATGTTTCCATTATGAAATTGCTGGAGGGATATTGCTAGCAATGATTTACGTGTCTGGTGCGCGTGGGTATTTTTGATCCTTCTTCTGAAATAGATGGAGAAGTTTAAGATGAATCTTATAAATCAGTGTGTGGTAAATGAAGTAGGATTTTAAATAAGAGATTGTGGTAAAATGAGCTGAGCCTTCTTTTTCATAATCATAATCCTTAAACTTGGCTGTGTCGGAAGAGTCTTGCATGCATTAGGGAAAAATAACTCAAGTATGTGGATCAGTGGTTATAAAATGTGGTGTTAAACTGGGTGGGTAAGGCACCGCGTTTGAAATCCAAAGCATCTGGCTGTAAATCCAAACATGAGTAGAAGCCTTACTGTAGTTCGCCAGATGCCACCTCCAATTCCAATATTTGGAATAAAACTGAGAGTGCTGTGAACTTATTTTACTACTGCTGGTGCTCTGGTATTACTGTCATGATTGAAATTCATAGCCAGACGTTTTTTCTCTTAAAATTAGGCATAAAGCAAAATAAGTGTTGTTGTATTTGAAATATTCGTTATCCCGTTTGGAAGAATGTTTTCCTTTTAATGAGCTGAAGTTCAGTCCTGCTGCAATTGTGACCTCTAGTGGAAAAAGCCAGTTTGTTATCATAATGATTATGCATCGAATTGCAGAGTAATTCACAGAGTGTTGCAATATTCATTATGTCTAATGTCGTAGCATTTCCAAGGCTCATTAATGGTAGAATCCCTTCAAGGCATCATATTATCCATATAAAAAAAAAAAAAATTTTCTTCCCAAGAATGCCTCTGGAAAGTCTCTGAAGATTTTTGTGAAAGCTCATTTTTATAGAAATACAGTCTCAGGCTCTCAGGAAGAAGCTTGGAAAAATACTCAATTGCAGAAGCAGAAATCTCTTGGAGAAGGTTCCTGTTGTTATCCCACAGCAATATGTACTGCAGTGCCAGTATTACTAGTGTGCAAATCTGTTGAGACTTTTTTAGATATCAGCTCTGAAAGACTTTGCAAGCAAAGATTGATCATGCCATCAAACAAGCAGGCAAGAAGATTTATAAAACATCGTCTAGGAAAACAGTCTGAACACAAAGTACGTAATGCAGCAAACAAGAAGTGCATGTGGTATTTTTCATATTAGGATGAACACAAAGCTATTTATAATCTTAAATAATCAAGTTTTGTAGGCTGCAGACAGGAGAGTCTCTTCCATCAGCGGAGGCCATGCGTGCACTGCTGGCGAGGCTGTCCTCTCGTGTCCTCTGGCCCGGGCTGCTCCAGCACGTTCTCCAAGCAGGACCCCAAGAGTAGTTTTGGTTAGGCTGCTCCAAAGGAGCCTCGTTCAGGGTATGCGTTCCCCATCCCTCTGGGAAAATCTTAAGGTCTTGATTGGCAAAATGAAAAGAAGTTGAAGAAAAGCAGAGGAATGGTAGTTCATATTTTTATACAAAATGTGAGTGGAAACGTAGCCTTTTTCACCCCTCTGTAGTCAGCCAGTGGAGTGGCTTTTGCTGTCTTTGATTTTGGAACACATGGACATTGTCCCTGCGTTAGTCACTGAACGGATTTCTGTACACTTGTGTTTCCAGCTTTTGCAAACCAGAAGGTAGACTGTTTGAGACATCAATTTGCTTACCTATGAAGTAGTTTGGATTTTTGGCTGATAACTGAAAAAAAGGTCTATTTTATACTTGTGGGGTGTTTTTTTTTTGTTTTATTTTGTATATTTATTTTTTTTACAATTTAAGCATGAAAGATTGTACATGATTAATCATAGCTAAGCTCAGTTACTTGGCAAAAATCCTATCAACTAGAATTTTTATTACGTTTTCTTGAGGCCCTGCTTGTTATGATATTCTGCACTGTTCAGGAAAACCAGCATGGACAGGTACTGAAACGACGGAAGGATATCCTGTCACATCCATAGCACCTGAAAGATCGAACAGTGAGATTCCAAATGCTTCAAAGAGCCGTCATATTCCCCAGCCGGGAGTTTGGAAACTGTGCCTTGGGGCTTTAATGATAAACTTTGAAGTGTAGCAGGGAAAAGAGAGACATTCCTTAGAGACTTGCAACATCTAGTTATGATGCTACATAGTGAAAAGGAATAGAGAAGAGTATGCTGGGACTGACTGAAGTCTTTTTCTTCTGATTTTCAGGGTATGAACATAATCTTCCATGTAGCCTTGGCTCTTTTAAAGGTAAGTCGTTGATTAGAAGGGTTGGGGTTTATTATTTTATTAAACTGTGTAGATTATTTTCTTAGCTTGATGTATCTTGTCTAAGGGAACAATAATAGTGGGACTTCTGGAGGAGGGAACAGAGGAGAAATATTGTCCATTTGAGTAGAGATGTCTTCAAAATTGTGCTTGTGGTAGATCTATTGTTATTAAACTTAATCATCTCATAAAGCTCCTGGAACAAAGAGTGCAGTCTAAGGATTTAAATGTCTCATATGTAATTACTACTAAAAAAACAATTATGATTTATTTCACGGTGTATTTATTTTGTGGCTGAGTTCCTTCCCGTAACTATTCAAGAAGCATGTGATTGACTGTTACTTGGTATCAATTATATTTGTAATATCAAGAGAGGAATGGAAGTCGGTCATAATATGGGGAACTTCTGGCTTGGACACAGAATTTACCTCAACAAACCAATCCATCAACCTGTAGGTAAAGCGTTGGCCCTTTTGATGCCCGTGAGATAGCTCGAAGTTGACTTACATCAACCTTCACAAGTTGGCACTAATTCAAATCCAGTCCACGTGCAGGCACGTGGTATGGAGTTCGTAATGCCACCTTGGCATTACAAAGGATATGGTAGGAAATGTCCAAAATCACTTGTGTTTTACACTAACACAGTGTCAAATGACATTATGACTTTCTACACAAGTATATGTATTAAATGAATTCGCCTGTAAACAGGGAGTTTGTTTAATGTACGTTTCCAGGGAATTGCTCCTACACAAAGCTAAATTTGTCAAAAGGGGGGAGGGAGGTGTATGCTCTGCTCTTCTTGTTTCGTATTTTGTTTGCAGCTATGGGGCTTGTTAATTTTGTGTTTCCTAAGGCCAGTATGGCTAAAGGGAAATCTAGCAGGTTATGGCACGGTAGGAGGTACAAGAAGTGAAAGCGAGCATCCACGTGACACCCAACAAGTGTGCTGCCCTGCTAGTGGGAACAGGTTCTGGAAAGAGGTAGAGATACCAGCTTATGGATCTTTAAACTGAAGGAGAAAGAAAAGGATGAGTGTTTGCATTGAGCTGCAAATGGCTGGCAAGGTTTTCGGGACAGGAGAATTTAGTTCAGTTCAGTTGTGAAGGATGGCTTTGAGACCATGGATGTACACTCCGTGGCCTGTTTTCCTCAGGTTTCCTGCTCCTGCTAGTAGGAGCAGTTGAACTAAGATTAGCAGCAGAACAACTGTTTAGAAAACGTGAGAAGGGTTGGAAAGAACTAAAATTCTTAACTCACAGGTGTTATACTGCACATAGGGATTATTTTTTGTGTGTGTTGAATGATTAACCTGATTTCTTTTAACAGAAAGTGCTGATTCTTTACATTTTGTTCATGTTGCTCAACATGCTGCTTATCCAATCAAACATTTCTCTTTGGCTGTTCAGCAAAGGAAAATTCAAGAAAGTATTTTGTCAGTCTGGTTATAACTGTTTTCTAAGTTTAAGAGTTTTAAGAGTTGAGTTTAATTCTGCTTATAGCAATTCTTCATATATATATATATATATATATATATGTATATGCAGTATGCTGTGTCTGCCTGTTCTGGCAGTAATAGGCTCTAAATGGTAAGGGAGGTGTTATCCAGAGAAATATTTCTATATTGCAGCCAAAAACAAGTACAAAGAAAATACGGGTAAGTAAGATAAGATTCTAAGTCAGAAACACTCACACAAGAGCATGGTTCCATGGTGGTACCAAATGGAGCTGGTGATTATG